CGCTTTCCTTCCTGTGCGGTTTGGCGCCAACGTTCATGATTATCGTTGTTTTTAAGAGTGACATGAATAGAGGGAACTGGCAAACGACCTGATCAGCCTTTCCGGATTAGATCAATACGCATTCAGGAAACGAAAACATGAATGTCTGGTTCTTTTCTTTTAGCTCACCTGACATCGGGGATTCCGAGGTTTGCCAGGGAGTTCCTAGATAAGGTCCAGTATCATATGGGGTGAGGGGTTAGATTTAGAGTTAGTCTGTGCTCATTTAACACCGGAACACCCTTGTACCGTTGGACTCTCTCTGGGAACTCACCGGCAACCCTCGAGGTCCCCGATATAGGGTGAACTAAAAGAAAAGAACCCGAATGTTTTATACATAGCTGGATATTTTGCTACCAGGCCGAAGCTCTGCCACTGCTGCGATTCGAAGACTCTCATCCTGGATGTCAGTCCAACAGGTAAAACCCAGACATCCCGTAATGTCAAGGTATAATTAGGACACCAGCAAGTACTGTTGTGTTATCACAATCAACGCCATTGCACATTGGGCATTTCCCATGCCTGCTCAGCACCCCCCCCCCCCCCCCCACCTGATGCAGCGGCCACTCCAAGGTAATTCTGCTGATTGTTCCCATAAGGAATTGGTTATGTCTCCTATCTCGACCTCGAAGGCGGCATTGACTTGTTTCACCGTGCTTTACTGTCATGGCACGTAATCGCGTTAGTGTCCGAGATTCGTCATTATCAAGTAGCGCAGATCATACAGTGTTGATATCTGCTGTCTGTGCGTCTTCCCGCATGCCTTAGTGCAATGGCTCTCAACCTTCCTAATGCCGCGGCCCATTTAAAGTTTACCATGCAGTTATTTTCGTTGCTACTTCATAACTTCAGTAAATATGACTTTTCCGATGGTCTTTGGTGACACCCGGTGAAACGGGGGTAGTTCGACACACAAGAGCCGCGACACGCAGGTTGAGAACCGCTACCTTAGTGCAATGCCTGCCAGCCCCCCCCCCCCCCTTTTTTTTTTTTTTCCTTTACCTGTTAAGTCGGATTTGTGGCATGCACTACTTTGAAGTGTCGGCTTTGTGGCTAAGTCGATTCGAACGCTTTATAATGCCGGGTTCGATCCCAGGCGCGGGCCATGCGCCTTGCGTTGGTTTCGACAGTGGTATCAAGAAAGCCGACCGTCCAGAGGCAATGGCAAACTACTGGACGTAAATTTGCTTAGAAAAACCACAGAACAGCCAGGGGCTGTTGGGGTTGGTTCTGCAACGTCCTGTAAAGGATACGCAACTAACCTACTCTAAAGTACCCTGCTACCCACAGTAGATATATGTTTTGTTAAACATGTAACACAGTTTTAACACTGTTATTCTCTAGATGGTTTCAATGACGACTACTACCAGGTAGAAGTACAGACAGCCCTGTCACTTAGACACAATGGAAGCAGAGCTAGAGGTCGACCACCCAAGCGATGGATAGATAAAATATCAAATTCTGCAAAAATCAGTATCTACTAGCATATACCACTAAGGCACGCACCCGAAAGCGGTATCCAGAAAAAATCCTGTGAGAAACGAAGAGATTCGAACTGTTGTAACAACACCCATCATTTCCTTCATTGAGAAACAACAACTGAAATGATTCAGCCACTTGATGAATCCAACGATGCGGCAGCGAGAGCGTACAGCAGGAAAATTGAAAAATCTGGAAGCAGAGGGGAGATCTATAAGAAGATGGAGGAAAGCAATGTTTCAGAAACTTTTCTTATTCGCGGCGCCTTTTTTTAATTAACATTTTTCCACGGCGCCCTAACCTAAGTAAAAGTATGACTATTCGTATGTAAGAGACCCGGGGCGCCGCGGCGCACAGTTTGAGAATCACTGGATCAAAGCATACCACCTTATGGTTGCCAATGTTACTGTCCCAGTCAGAATGGAGCTGCCAGGGTTGAGTCCTCGAGAATAACCACTTTAAGTCCGAGGAGCATCCTCTTAACAATTAGACGAATCTCTGAGAAAGTGGAAAACGGTCCGCGGCAATGAAAAGTGGGCAAATGTTTCATTCCGAAAGGCGGCAGGCCCAGGTGAAGAAAAGGAAAGGTCAGCACTCTAAAGGTACCACGGTAGTCGTCGACCCGAGAATGTAGCAGGTGTTGTGTGGTTTCTGGGACTAGGGCGTAGGGGAGTCAAGGGGAGCGTCGCAGCACGGTTGTACAGAGTGGCAGGCGGCCGAGGTGCCAGTTTCGTCGGCCAGGAGAAAGAAAAACGTGTCCAACTTTCTCCTGATCAGTAAGAACTTGGGGGCCGGAATGGTGGTCTTCACATATTTAGTAGGAGAACTATCTATCTATCTATCTATCTATCTATCTATCTATCTATCTATCTATCTGTCTGTCTGTCTGTCTGTCTGTCTGTCTGTCTGTCTGTCTGTCTGTCTGTGTACTTGCATATTATCTTCCTACTTACTTACCTTTGGCCAACCATAAATCTTCATGACTGCTATATATAAATTTATATATATATATATGTATATTGTAATTAAACAGGCGAAGTGCGGGTGGGTTTGAGTTATTGAATAGTGATATTAAGGACGGCTTAAGCTTTTTCAATTGTGGTTGACTATCCCTGTTGCCTAAAGGTCAAGGTTTCTGACAGGGGTGAGGCTAAATCACTGGTTTATTGCGATGTATGTATGTATGATATGTCATGTATGTATGTCTATATAATTATCTACTGATTTCTATATGGATGTATCTATGTATGTATGGTATGTAATGTATTATGTATGTTATTATTATGTAATGTATGTATGTATTGTATGTATAGTATTAATATGTATGTTATGTATGTATGTATGTAAATGTATGTATGTATGTATGTATGTCGTATGTATGTATGTATGTATGTATGATATGTATGTATGTATGTATGTTATGTATGTATGTAATGTATTGTACTGTATGTATGTCTGTATGTCTGTATGTATGTATAGTATGTATGTTATGTATCTATGTCATGTACTTTACTGAATTTATGTTGTATGTATGTAGGTCTGTATGTAATGTATGGGTATAATGTCTGTAATGTTATGTCTGTATATATGTATGGTATGTATGTTAATGTTTGTAGTATGTATGTACGGTATGTATGTATGTATGTCTGTATGTATATTCTGTATGTCTACATGTATGTTACTTATGTTAGGATCCCCCCCCCCCCCCCCCCACCTATATCTTCTTAAATGTCAAAGAGGCAAACACATACACCCACGTTAACATTACCGACCTTGATGTCAACAGAACATCCACGCGCGCTTAACAAAAATAACCTGGCGGAATTTTTGCAAAGAAATAATAATAATATGCAGCGGTAATAACTCATAATAAGCAATATTTTTTTACTGTAATTCAATGTATGAAACTTGAAAGTAAACAATGTATCTATCTATCTGTCTGTCTATCTATGTTTGTCTGTCTATCTATCCATCTATTGATTCAGTGCATGTGTGTAGGGGTGGGGGCGTAGCGTATGCACAACGGTAACACACAAAGTTACACACGTATTACCTCCATTCATCTGTATGTAGAAAACTTGCCCTATGAATCAAATGTTTCTCCGACCCTGATTGTCAGTTGTGAAAACTTGCCCGTGGAACATCTGTCGCGAACACATCGATATGTGTCCATAACTGAACTCGGCCGCCATTGTCTGCTAGCTTCTTGTGTCTTTCTCTATCTGGCGTTTACAACAGGCCAGCGCGCAGGCGCACACACAGACACTCTTATACATGCTAACATCTTGACGTGTACCCCCCGACCAGGGGGCTGCCAATGGGACTTTTGTGAAAAACCCAGCTAAGCTGAACAAAAACCCAAGCAATATATAAGCAAAGAATTAAAAAAAAAACCCAGATTGTTAAAAAGTACAAATTTTAGTTACCATATGAAACATGTACCCACTTTTATATAAGGATTTAAAAACCCAGATTTCAAAATGTAAACCCAAGGCGTCAATTAAAAACCCAGACCTGAGGGTAAAAACCCAGCATTGGCACCCCTGCCCCCGACTAGTATTTTGGCGCTCGAGGTTACGTTACATCTGCATCCATTGGTGCTTTGATTGACCTTCATTCATAAGCGCATTTGTTAGTGTGTCTGGGGGTTTGTGTGGCGGCGCCCAGATTCGCGCAGTTTGCAGGGGGGCTTCCAAGTTGGCCGTTTAGGGCACAACAATTGTTACAGCTTAGGTTAACGCTACTGCATAAGTATTATTGACAATTGAGGTTACCCAGTGGGATTTACTGTTTAAGGGAAGAAACATACACTCTCGGGAATCCGAGAGTTCGCCTGGAAAGTCCAGTATCCCAGGGGGTTAGGGCACGACCAGATCCAGTTATTGGGAACTCCTCTGTAACTATGTCTCCGAGATGAGGTGATTAAAAATAAAAGTACCCTGGCCTCTCCCGCCGCAGTACCCGCATTTTAATGCATATTTTAAAGCGATACAATAATAGACACTTTGTACCGGCATCTTTTTTTTTAAACACCCTGGTGGAGTACCTTTTCTTCTTCACTGGTCCATTTCTGCCTTCCGGCGTTAGGTTTTAAAGAGGCATCTAGTGCCAACCTAGGTATGTGCTATGTAGATGCTGATATTTACCGCCTTGGACATCCCATCTATCCATCCCTTGCGTGGCGGACCTCTAGTCCGTCTTTCGTTATGTCTAAGTGACAGGGCTCTCTGTGGTGCACTATCTGGTGGTTGTCTTGACACATGTCCGAACCATTTGATATGTTGTCTCTTGATGTCTCGCTATTGGCTAGTACATTTCCTATGACTCTGCCGGCTCCATAGCAGTGCTTGTCGAAAACTACCACTGCCTCGGATTGAAACCTGGCCGCCGCTTTCACAACACACTGTCACCCTTCTGTGCCTCCGTGGCTTGAAAGGTTTGTCTTGGGGGTTATTAACGTGTTTATTTCTTTTCCGCTACAGGGTGACTTCTCTCTGGTTGTGGAAGCTTGGCACGACACTACCCTGGATAGCCCTAAACAAGGTAAGAATTGTCGAATCTCATTTTGTTCCACCCCCCCCCCCCCCAACCCCATTTCTTCTTGTTCTTGTTCGCCCTTAACATGGTGGTTGACAGGTTGTACAGTAGTGGCTTACATATAAAAGGAACCCACGACCTCAAAGGCGTAACGCAATCGGCGGAACCAGTCAGTCATCATTTGTGCGCTGTTTACTGTAATGGTCTGAATGCTGCTTCTGTACCTTCTCTCTTTCTTCTATGACCTTATAATAGGTAAGATCTCTAGTTCAACAGGTGCACCTCTGCCCCGCATGGTGCGCCTTTTATTGCAGCGTCGTTTCTGTCGTAAACTGGCAGAGACAGGAAAAGGGCATCAACTTGACGCGAAGCAGACATTGCTCTCATTTTTGTGAGCATCAAAGCCATTTGGTAGATGCCACTTCCGCTCGGCTTTATCCTTGGATTCTCTCCCCCCCCCCCCCCTCACTTTTCCTCCTTCGCTAGTGATCTTTGCAGCCTGAATCCTCAGGCGCATGGAGAGAAGATAGGGCGTTCCTGATACAGCAGTCTTCCCATCGTCTTTAACATATTTAATGCTTCTATGAATCCAGTTGCAGGGCAGACCCAGATGTCTTGCATATGGGGTTTATGAAATACTTAAAGTCTATAATAGCGTAACGCCCATGTGAGCTGGAAGCCGTTATCTTGTGAAAACGTGCAGTTTCGTTCGGATTTGAACCCACGACCTACGGATTCTCAGGCGAGCATCTAACCGCTACATTAGGGCGGCTCCCTTCGTATTTGGCGTTTCAGGTCCTCCTCCCCCACCTCTTTGAATCCCTCACGCATTACCTCTCTTTTGCTCCTATTCGCTTTCGCCCTTAATCTCCCCCATCACCTTTCGGTGTCTTGATTGTCCGACCCTCATCCTTTGCTTGTGTGTTTAGCTCGGGAACCACGCCGGCTCTAGGTGCCTTCCAGCTGGGCCCAGAAAGTCCTGGCACGTGCAACAACAGCTTAGCCTGCGGAGGTCACTGCTGGGCATTAACGACAACCCGGGCATAATTACTCATCTTTATTAATGCAGATCCCTACCAAGGCGCTGTCAGGACCCCCCCTTTTCCTATGGATATCCAGACTAGAGGGCAAATGTTATGTTAGATCTGCTAGTCTTTTACCCCTCTAAACTACCTAGGAGAACCACTTAAGAATCCCTGGCCCAAGCTTGACCGACCGCCCCGTGCGGCACACCTGTACTCCCCTGCATGGCTCTTCGTTTGAAGGTCATTAATGGCACTTGTATGTCTGTCTACTTGGAATCTTAACTACGCTGGTCAGCTGGTAGTTTTGTTTTATTTCCTTCCCTTCTGAGGTGCCATGTAAACTGCCCTTTGACTTCGTGGAAATCCTGCAGTGTTTGGATAAAAGTAGGCAGTAAAAAGTAAAGCAGAGCACCCTTTTGCGCGCCGTGAAGGTTATTGGCTATGTGGTGCCGGTACCATATCTTTATTGACCGCCTGGTAGTCAATGTGTAATGTGGTCACTATCCCGCCGGCTGTATTTCATAGAATGTGCACATTCTGTCTTCTTCTTCTTGTACTTTACACGGATAGACAAGTTCTCATGATTAAGTTGCCCTTATTTTTAAAAGCTTTTATTAATTTCGGTTTTATTTGTTTGTCTGGTTCAGTTTTGGGCATTAATTTTTTTTTTCCTAATCCTATTCAGATGTATGTAAATTAATGCCATTGTTCCCTTTTTAACCTTTTTGTACTGTACAATAGACTGTACAACCAAAGCCGTCTCTAGAGACAGTCTTGTTTTATAACCCACAGGAACATGATGGTGTCGTCACGTTTGTTGTTTAGTGTCCCGCTGTCTCTGTACTTCCTTCTGCTTATGTGTGAGTGCCTGTCAGTGCATCACAGTTTTACAGATCTGACTCATTTCGTGCAGACTGCTGGTTGCTTGCCTCTCAGGCAGATGCACTCCGACTTTGAAAGAAGCTCCCAATTAATTAGTCGACTCTTATGACATGCTTTCATGTAGGTAGTGGGTCTGTTATTGTTTTCCCTATAACAGGGCCCTGGAACCCACACGATGAAGATTTGTTTTCAAAAACTGCTAAAATGTAAGTTTGACAGCAATCTTATCTACTTTACTATTATGTGTACATAAACCACATGACCCACAAACTTATTACGTCAAAACTTAACACAACTGCAAAAATTGAATGTTAACCAGAACCTTGACCTTACGGCCTTGAATATGTCGGTGCCTCTACAGTTGCTGTGTGCATACACCACACTTGACTGAATAATATCGCAGGCATTTATTTGGCACTTCTAACCAAATGTGCTTGGTGACCAGTTTAGCTCGGTCAAACTGGGAACCAAAATCAGTTACAAAATCCGCTACCGTTCATATGCAGACCAAGACTTTCCGACCAGTAGGCAAACGGCAGTAGACTTCTCACCGGTTATAAACTCCGGCAGGGAAATCCTGGTTGTTCGTCCACTTTTAGACTTTGGTCTTGTTCCAGCAATACCTTCCCTATTCCCTACAGCCATTAGTAGCTAGAACACATCCTGTCAAACTGACTGCTTTAAACACCTACCGAATTCCGTGCTCTGTGTTATCTACACACACAATCTGACCTCCAGAGGCGGCTGGCCGTTCCCATCGTTTTATTGGCTTATTGGTTCTGTTGTAAATGCCCAGGTACACGCTGCGACCGGCGATAGGCTTTGTGCTGGGTGAACTTTCTGCCTTTTGTCCGCTGCCTCCTGCCACAAGTTGTAGGTCAGAGACAGTTATCTTTCTAGCCTGCTGTTTCCAGAATGTAGAACATAGTGGTGTAGACATTCTTCTTCTGTTGTAGACACACTGGTACCGGAAGCGATCTCCGGAGGCTTGAATGATGAATTTGTTCATCCACAACAGTTTGTCCTTTAATTTATTCTTCTCATTTTACAGATAAGCCAGAAATGTATGATGGATGTGGATGCAGTGCCCAGACCCTGGAATAAGACCGAAGTCTAGCCGTCGACGTACAACCAGGATAGCCCCCCCCCCCCCCACCCTTTTCCACCCCGCGAGTTAACAGCCAGCGAGTACATATCAAGTGGAGGAAAATAATTATTTCTTTAGTAGTATCACCTATACACATAGAGGCTGGCTAGGCCTCCACAACCGTACTTATTAGTAGCTTGGTCTTCTTCGTACAACCAGGACTTTTCCCTTTGGAGTGTTAAAAGCGCTGGCATGCTGAAATAGCAACGCCATTGCGGAACACCCCCGTAGCCTTGTGCCAAGGTGACAGGTTGCAATAAAAAGTTTGATTTATGTGCGCTATCAAGAAGCCAAGAACAGGACTCTTGAAGTGTCGATGCCATCGTAAGAGACAGGCCCAAATACTGTCCTGACCGACGACGAAGCCGACTACTGGCCAGCCAGTGGGCGACCCGGTACGGATGGCCGGCTGGACCTCCAGAACCGCACTTAGATTTGTGGTTCATCGTCTTTAAGGCAGATGCACTCAGACTTCATAGAAAGCAACCATAATTAGTCGACTTTTACGACATGTTTGTTGGAAGGCAGAGGGTCTATCCCCACTTCCCCATGGAGCACCAGAAGCAACAAGAGGCTATTAGAAACAATTTCATCGTTTTTACGATGTTGACGTCGCATATATTTGGGAGCTGCTTTGTTTACATTCTAACCCTGGCTATAAATAAGTCAAATGACAATAGTATCTCCAAAAACTTTGTCCAGAATCTGCGAAAAAAATCTGCCGTAGATTATCATGCAAGACAACGCCCTAAAATCATTATCAGAATATAAACCCATTAAATCATTTTATTGGGAGACTCTCCGGTGACCTTCGTCCACCAGCCGGCTGAGTTGACCGAGGTCAGACGGGCTACGGCTGGGAACTAGGCCACATTTGTCCACTTGGTCCAACTCCGGCCACCTGTTCCTCCTGTCCACTGACTTCGCACCCGACCAGCCATTGTGTTTCACTGACCCTCACCCGTCCTAGTTCCCTCTCCCCGCGATCTTTTGTGGCCCCTCTTGGTATAGCCATTGTTTGGGAGCTTCGCCAACTGTCGCGGTCTGTCTCTGGCGAGGCGTCCTGTATTACCTTCAAGTGCCACAGACATGCAAATCGTCCCGCTAGTTCCCACGGCTTCCGTCTCAAAACAATACACTAAAAATTAATCCAAGAAAATCACATGGGCATCTTTAGAAGAACGTGATTATATATGATTTGTTTTGGACATAAGCCTTCACTGGCATGAAAAACAAACAACGAAGACAGTAGGATTTAAATAAATGTAAATATATTTTTATTTATAAGTGACTCCTTGAGTGTGAAAAATCATGAGGCGGGAGAACTGGCAAGAGACCGAGTTTCTTACAGGCAGACTGTGATGAGAGCGACGTTCTGCAAAGGACCTGCTACATGATGATGATCTTTTTATTTATATTTTCATTTCATTGTGTTTTCTGACAGTAGGTTCAGGGTAATCTTTTTGGCAGAAATCAATAACAAGCTTGTCGGGAAGGCGACTAATTAGGGATTAGCTGAATTTGGATGTATTGGACCTAAAAAAAAACGAAAAAAATCGTGGCCCAGCTGTTAACCACAGTAAAATGTACCAACGACCAATTTCAGAGCGACCTGGTTGAAATTGTAAATCTTCATTACACGTTGAAACGCAAAATCCTCGCTTTTAGAAAATGCAGTATACATTAACGAACTTGAAACCTTTGATTTTATAGACCGATTACAACTTTGTAATCAATGAGGTTAGTATTATGCCTGCCACCTTTACTGCCCATGACGTTTTCTGGTACAAATTTTAGACTGGGTCGACCCAGGTGAGCTGTAAGATTCGTCTCTGTGGGGATTCGAACGCATGACCCCATTAAGCTCGCAGCAGGCCTGCTAGCCACTCGGCTAACGTGGCTCCGTGGCTGAGTTTCGCGGACAAAGGAAAAGGTGTGAGAAACAGGTGCGAAAAAGCACACTTGTCTACCGCTAACACCCCCTTCACCAAACGTCCCGACTATTGGCTTCGGGTGAGGGTATCGCGGGTATGTTATCTTTAAGATGTCCTCACTCCCCTCCCCGTCATTAAATGTGTGTTTCATCTCGTGTTGCCTAGCCCTCAGTACTGCCGTAAATATTTGGTAGAAGAAGCCAAGTATACAAAAATAGAAGTGAAAGTTTATAGGGCACCGGAAGGCAGCAGTGTAAACAGTTCACCGTGAGAGTAGGTACCACTAAAGGGTATTTCGAGGCGAGGTTTTGATCCCATTTGACTGGAGACATGTATCTCTTGTCAGACGGGCTGGTCGCTTGTGAGTCTTGCACAATGCACAAACTCTGTAGCTACAGTAGCGACCTCACAGGGAAATCTCCAATACGCACGACTCGCGTAGAGAACGGAGTTGGAAACTGGAAACTTTACATAGAAGCAGATACAATTTTTTTTTTTCAATGGTTGATATAAATTGTGTTTCCAGTTTAAAGCCTATTTAATTCTTTCTTACAATCTTTCTTGCTTTCTGTCTGTCGGTGTTTAGTTCTGTCACTCAGTCTTTTATTTGTATTGTGTGTGTCTGTGTGACGTATTTATTTCTTCTGTGTCCTTTATTGTATTTGTTTTATTTAAGATATTTATATATTTACAGGGTGACAAACGTGAGACGTGTCTCCTTTGTTGGCACCGGTATTTGCGAACTATACTGTATTTTTTTTTTAAATATCTTTTCACAGAGTACCGAAATATCTTGATTGCACGTTTGGCAGAAATCAAAAGCGCCGCCTCTGGAAAGAATTGGTACAACTTTGAACACGACTTCAACTACACAGTGCTCAAGTACGCCTTCCGGTTCACCTGCGACAGCAACTATTACGGAGCCAACTGTGCTGATCTCTGCCGGCCCCGGGATGACAGCTTTGGCCACTACACCTGCAGTGCAAATGGCACTAAGGTGTGTCTGGACGGCTGGACTGGCGACTACTGTGACACGGGTGAGTTGGCCAGTATAAAATGTCCGGCTATCTGTGCATTTGTTAATGCTGTTGCGATTCTGGGAAGGGGGGGGAGGGGGGTGGATGTGACGGCTGTGGGAAAGTTTTCAGTCTATATCCGCTCAGTCTTTGGGGTCGTGGCCCTTTTTTTTTAAGGGTTGAACGACTCTTTCACAGTTGTCGCCAAAGACCATCTCAAAATACATATTTATTGAAGTTGTGAAATAGCGAAGAAAATAATTGTATGGTCGGGGGTCGCTATAACACGGGGAACTGTATTAAAGGGTCGCGGCATTAGCGAGTTTGAGAACCACTGATATAGATGACCTTCATGGAACCATCTGTTATTTGTTTGAATTTAGAGAAATAGAAACAGCAAGAAGAGAAAAAGATTTTTTTTTTTAAATTGATGGGATACAAAAATAAGGAAAGGGCAGAGGTGAATAACAGATTACACGAGGAAAATTACAAGCAAGCGAACTATGAAAAAGATCAAAATAAAATAAGTGGGGTAAACGAAATTAAAAAGCAGAAAAACGTACCGGGTATAACAAGGAGTAACGCTTAAAACACAAAGAAGAAGAAGCAAGAGAAATCAGCTGAAATAAGATCTCCATGTGTCAAAAGAATAAAAGCAGAGTGTCTTTCTTGTATCTCCTGCAATCAGGAAGAGGAAACACCGAAGCTAGCCGCTTTCCTGCAGCGTCCTGTTGGTATATGGACCAAGGCTGTTCACCATAGCCCAGGTGACACTTTTATTCAAGGCCACAATGGCCGTACAAAGACCCGTCTCCCTCCCTTCCCCCCAGAAGGCCCCCCACATCCTCACCCATGCACACGATGCAACAGATGTGCAGGATGTGTCCCCAAGGAAGAACAGTTGTGAAAATCTGATCAGCAACATTCGGTTGCCTTGCCTGTCCTTCTTGCCGATGCTGGGGCTAACCCAGGGGTCGATGGCAGTTACTGTTAATTTGACGCGGTTATGGAAAGGGCGGGTTGATTTGTTCGGGATCAATGATCTCTTGGTTGAGAATAAATTCGCCGTAAACAAATTGGTCTTCTCCACTTTCACTGTAGGTTAACTGGGATTACCCATTCCGTTAACGCATTCGGTTCCAGGCAACCCAGTCTTTGTTTGTTGGTTTCTGCCTATTTCAATTCCTTATGCTTTATCCAGTTTCACCAACTCTCTCCTTTTATTGTTACTCCAGCGCCTTTAGTCTCATAAAATGTGTGTTGCCATTCCTTCAGATAGAAATATAAAGTGAGGAGCGAAAGGAGAAGAAGCAATGTGTGGAGAAGGAGGAGAAGAAGAAGAACAAGAAGACATAGATGAAGAAGAAGAGGAAATAGAAGAAGAAGAAGAAAGAACAGTACCAACAGCAGCAGCAGCAGCAACAAGTCACATCAACAAAACCAATACATGTAAATAATTAATAAAAAACTAATACTGTTATAATATCAAATAAACAAAACAACAACAACAACAACAACAAAAGTAGCCTAACTTATACGTGCTCTGTGTTTTCCCACTTATAAGTGCTAATCAATCCATATCCAATTACGCAACCCCCGGCTTTGATGTTTTCGCGGCTACGCTAGAGTCATTTGCGCCCGTTTGATTGGTTGACGGTGACGTCAGTATATTTACTACAAGTCGCCCTAAACTGCCAAACGTTTTATCATTGCATTCGGCAATTTGGCAACTGTTCTCACCGACTGCAGTGTTTATTTACATTGCGCCCATAAAATGGAAATGCCCCGAGTGAAAACTACGCTACGTTGAGCAGTTTGTCGATACGTTGACCTAAAAAGTGAGCGTTAAATCCAGTAAAAGTTGTGGTAGCAGCTGTCTAATGCCCGTGTGTGTGAGTGAGAATGTGTGTGTTGTGTATGTTGCGCCTGAGTGCGTTTTCCCCCATTAGCTGATATTGTTAATATTTAATAACTCTTTCCAGATGCTGTTATATATTTTCTATTATATATTTTTTTCTAACTTTTTTTTTAAATTTGTTACAGTTCTGCAAAAAATTAACACATAAATCAAATAAACATCAAATTGTTTAGAATTGAAAATTGCAAGAATGGCACATGTACGATCTGGCGTGAGCAACTTTTTTCATCTCTGTTGTGTCCTTTACTTCATAGTAAAACGTGTGTTACACATTGATTAACATAATTCTTTGAAGTCATAGTGTCCGCCTGTCTTTGAACCACTGTGCTTAAATAGATCATGTACTGAAAATCATTGACAAATATCCCTTATTGCTGGTGGGTTTTTCTTAAACTGTTGTCTTTATATTTGCTTATATAAATTAGGTCAATGGCTTGAAACTATAGTTAATGGACAGTTTTACAGAGACCCCCTCACTTCTCAATTCAGGTCCTTAAAGTAAAAAGTAAAGATCCCTTTTCACACCTCTACGCGCATCTTTATAGGAAGAGCACCCATATTTTTACAGACCAATCGGCACTAGGTGGGTAATGTGGTCAGCATTACGCCGGCCGTCTTTACTTCCCCAGGACATACATCCTGGTACCCACTTTAGGTTGGGTTGACCTTCGACGCTCCATACCATTATAACAGTCCACGCAGACAGCAGTGGGTTTGGATCGCGGTACATTTGAATTACAAGTCGGACTCGCATCGCCTAAGCCACGGACGCCGCAATCATTGGCCCGCTTACCAACAGAATAATCGTTGGGTTGTCCCCATCCAACAGAACACCGACGATAGGAATTCTTGCTCCCAACACACCACACATTCATACTGTCCTATCTCCAGCTTGACCCCTCATACTGTCCTCTCTCCCACCCCATCCCTCATACTGTCCTCTGTCACATAGAACATTTATGAGGTCCTCTTTCCCAACAGCAACGTACAGGGTCCTCTTTCCCAACAGCAACTTACAGGGTCCTCTCTCCCAACAGCAACGTACAGGCTCCTCTCTCACCACTGACCACTGATAAGAGTCCCCGTGACCAACAGATCACCCACCGAACCACCGCTATCAACAGCCCAGTCAGCGGGTCTCTGGCCATCAGCCAAACACTGTCAGACAGATGTTCATCTTTTACACCCCAGAGCTAAGCTGGTTTCTGTCACTGGGGCGTTCCTTCAGTCCAGCAAGTACCGAAGGCTGTTCTGTCAAGGCCAAATCCGCTTTCCTTGTTCGAGGACTTTGGAATAACGGCCTAAGTCGATTTGCGACATGAGTCTTAGGCATCAACAGCAGGGTTCTCTGTATCCCCTTTCCCCTTTTTGAAAACAGCTTAGTCTTTCTTTCTTATTTTTCGTTTAGTCTTTTTTTTTTTTTTTTTTGTTCTGAACAACTATGAGTCAACACACTAGTGATACTTTTTTTTTTAAATCCCACTGGTACCAGTCATTTTACTTCCTCTAGTCGGCGTCTACGCTTTCCCCAATTACATTCGTGCAGATTAACCTTTTACCGCTGCTTCCTCCCCCTACACAACTAACCTTTAGGTTTCAATTGGTGCGGGTGTATTAGCCGATTAGTTAGAAGATTGCAGGCTTCCTGGGGTGAAGCAGCTGTTAGCAGAGCTGGCCTGTTGTCAGCGAATCCCAGTGCGTGAACTTCCAAAGTGGTTGTTGTCAATGTTGACCCGTCGTCTTAGTCATAAGCAGTCTCGCCGCTAAGTTGGATTGTTCATCGTCGTATGAAGTTGCTGTATATACAGTTTATCACACTATCCTAACCCTTTTTTCGTCTCTAGCTCCATTGCATACTGTTTGTCCAACTATCCTGTCGTCGTTTCATTCAGAACTATGCTAAGGTTATCACATGTTACAACTCGAGTTTCCTAACTATCTCATTATGTTTACATCCCGAAGTGTCACGATGTGCTTTTTATTCATCTGGTTATGTTCCACCCCGAGCTTTTCTAACTTTACCTTATGCAGGTTCAATCCGAACTATCCTAACTTTTTCTCATTATGTTACATCGCGACATTCGCCAACTTTGTATCATTCCACCTTTATATCCCAATTCTGCCCCAAACCCTACTTTTCTCTCTCTCTCTCTCTCTCTCTCTCTCTCTCTCTCTCTCTCTCTCTCTCTCTCTCTCTCTCTCTCTCTCTCTCTCTCTCTCTCTCTCTCTCTCTCTCTCTTTTTTTTTTTTGCTGGTATCATTCCACCTTCATATCCCAATTCTGCCGCAAACCGTACGTTTCTAAAAAAAATTTTTTTTATCTTTTTCTGTTCTATCCGAGACAACCGTACCAGCTGTGACGAATTTCTGTACACCCTTTGTTTCTTTCGCTGTTACCATCAGACAGAAAACACACGCCGACCGTCTTATCACATGCCAACAGTTTAATACCTCGTTAAAATCAGTCGGCAGACAACACGTAAGGCGAGAGAACAAACATTCTGAAACGTGCAATGAATGACACAGGAATCAGTTGTGCACAGAGCCAGAAACGCTGCAGAGATACTAGTAGACTTTTATCAACTGACAACAACGGCAATTGATAGTGACAAGTCTGGAGTTCAAGCGATAGCTATCTACATCCCCGTCTGCTGCTCTCTCAGACTGGAGAGTTTTTCTAGCCTCTTGGTGAGACTACAGTGACATTTGACCTTGCCTCAATGATTGAAGTGGGAGGGGGAAGAGGGAAGGTTGGTAGGCAGGTAATATGACCGCCTCCTGGCGTGAGCAGTATCTGTTTGACTGGAGAATAAAATAGTGTGTTTGCACATTTTTCAGACACATCTGTTTGAATCAAATTATTGTAATGTATGCATAAGCATATTATCATCTTCTGCGTTTACCCATAGTAGTTTATTATGTCACCTATCACTTCATCGATGCCGGCATAGTCGAGCTTCATCACGCTACACTCCCCAGGAGACGCAGTCGTGTTAGTGTCAGAACATCCGCTAACCTATTCCCTACAGCGTTGTTGATGTCTGCTTTGTTAGTGCATATTTCTCTTGTCCATTAAAGTATTTAATCTTCTTCTTCTTCTTCGCGTTCACCGGTTGTAAGCTCTGGTGAAAATATTTGGTTGCTCGCCCACTTCTGGACTCTAGTCATGTTCCAGAAACCTAGTGTTGCGTTCACATCCATTTCACAGGTCTGACTCATTTGCATGCAGACTGTTGGTTCCTTGCCTCTCAGGCAAACGTACTCCGACTTGGAATGGAGCTCCCAATTAGCCAACTCCTATGACATGCTTTTGGGGCAGGCTGTGGGTCTATTCTTGTTTTCCTTCCCACAACAGGGCACAGGAACACACACGGAGAAGGTATTTAATGAAGTCAAAATATTCGTATTATTCTGTCACTTTCACTGAGGCCTGCTTTAATTTTTTTTTTCTTGTTTCCTATAACAGTACTAGAATAATTGTGCTATTTCAGAGCATTGATTTTACAGTGCAGAAAAGACTGTATCTTCTTCTTCTTCTTCTTCGCGTTCACCAGCTGTATACTCTGGCGGAAAGTTCTGGTTGCTCGTCCACTACTGAACTGCAGTCCTGTTCCAGAACCTGAGTGTTGCATGTGCATCAGTTTTACAGATCTCATTCTTTTGAATACAGACTGTTGGTTCCTTGCATCTCTGGCAGATGCACTCTGACTTCAAAGGAAGCTCCCCAATTAGTCGACTCTTACGACATGCTTTTGGGGAGGCAGTGGGTCTATTCTTGTTTTCCCGACAATGGGGCCCCGGAACCCACACGGGGGAAAAGACTGTATAAATGTTATTTTCTTTCGTACACTTGCTAGGGAATTAAGTGTTGGGGGATTCAATGGACCACTTACTCAAGCTGTCGCCAAATAGTGTACCAGTGGGATTTCTTCATTGTATCTCCTTAGTTAGAAATATACCCCCCCCCCCCCCCAGTAGTTGACAGCACAGATTGTGCCGTAAATCTGGGGGAAATGTGGCTTTTCTGCCTACCCTCGGGCGTGAACCAGGACCACAAGCAGTTCGTCCCCCTGTCATCGCGAAGTCAACTTTAACAAACTGAGCTAGGGAGCCGGACAAAGCGCATATTCAAACCTCTCGACTATGGGCTTCCAGCCTAATTGTCACTTTCCTATCTGCCAGCTAGTCTCTACCTGTCGGCCACACGCGCGCATAGTCCTCGTTTTGTAGCTCATCGCGATAACATAGCTGGCATAAGCTCACTCAGTCAAAGAACTGACCACACAAGAAAAGGTCCGTGTGGCAGACCACACTAACAGACGGGAGAGCATTGGTCAGTTCCAGTTGACCATGAGGGTGGCGATACAGTGCAGTGAGATAAAGACTTCAGAAGTCGACTTGTCTTACCAGAGCTTCCCTATCTTCTAGACACGAACTTAGATGCCCTCTAATTGTTGGCTGAAGATCTTTCCAACAAAGCTTATCTCGTCGGGCCATTTGTTTCGTCTCTACTGAAAAGGCATTTTACCCTTATCCTCCATGTGTGGTTTCCAGGTCCCATTGGGGGTGCGGGGGTACTCACTGCTGCCTTACAAGCATGTCGTAAAAGTCGACTTATTAGGCGTGTTTCTTTCGAAGCCGTAATGCAACTCCCTAAGAACCAAGGAACCAACAATCTTCCTCCAAATATACCAGATCTGTAAAATGGATTCTCGCAAACCTTAAGTATTGGTATAAGTTCAGAATTGGACGAAAACCTAGAGCTTTTCGCTGGAGTTTTAGTCGTTGAACCCCAAGAAGACAACGAAAGAAGCTGTTATGCACAGATTTGTACGAAATGTTACGATGAGTTTATAACGCAAACTAAAAGTTCATTCGCGTGGTAGATACTCTTGAAAATATCGCCACATAAAATTACATAACGGACATTGATTTATTAGTACGCATAAGATACTGGCATTAGAAGAAAATAATAACTATTGTAAAAGTTTCCCCCTTGATTAGTAAGCATATGATACTGACACTAGAATCGATTTATAACTATTGTAATAGTTTCCCCCTTGATTAGTAAGCATAAAACGCTGGGACTAGAAGACATTTATACTTATTGTGATAGTTTCTTCTTGATTAGTAAGCATAAGATACTGGCACAATAAAAGATTTATAACTGTTGTAATTGTTTCCCCCTTTTCTCTTGAACCATCATGTATTTTAAACAGACATAATAAACCAGAATATGTTTCCTTGATCCTACAGCTGTGTGCTTACCCGGCTGTGATGCAGACAACGGAGTGTGCGACGAACCCAACGAATGCAAGTAAGTATCAGTCAATATACAGGCAATAATTATACTAGTAGTTATGAAACCAAATATTAACTATAATAAAGCTGTGAAGAGATGGATATGGATAGCGAGTTGAATGCAGAGACAGACTGATGTAGAGCTTTTGAGCTCTCTTTCACTGAAAGTTTTGTGGATGAAAATACGTTGCCTTGGTAACACTTATATAACTGAAGGTTAAGTTACCTTCGTACAACTTATATAACTGAAGGTTAAGTTACCTTCGTACAACTTATATAAATGAAGGTTAAGTTACCTTGGTAAAACTTACATAACTGAAGGTGAGGTTGGTTAAGAAACAAAATAAACATAGGATATTAATGTTTTTAAACCCAAAGACTTCATGGCTATAAAGCTATTTAGCAAGAGAATATTCTCTCTCTCTCTCTCTCTCTCTCTCTCTCTCTCTCTCTCTCTCTCTCTCTCTCTCTCTCTCTCTCTCTCTCTTTTTTTTTTATCGCTCTCTCTCCCAGCAATACATCACCCCTAGTCAGTTGATGTTGTGGATTTTTCCTTGAGTTTTTAAAAATTCTGTAAGATATATGCCTTTCACATTAATGGCTACATTGAATACCTTTTCAGTGGTAATTTCCATGTACATAATCACACCTGATGTCAATTGTCCAGGTGTCGTGTGGGCTGGCAGGGCAAATTCTGCAAGGAATGTATCCCCTACCCCGGATGTCAGAAAGGCCGCTGTGAGAAACCCTGGCAGTGTAACTGTGAAGAAGGCTGGGGTGGTCTTTTCTGCAACCAAGGTAAGCACCCGATTCTGCATATTTGGGATAGTGGTGGTCTGTTATGTGAGTCACGGGAAGGGCGAGACTCTAGTGTAAGCGACCGCAATTGACCTGAACACTTATCTTTTGGCGAGGCACATGCTAGTGATGAAACAGGATTGCCATAAGAAGCTACAGAAATTGGCGTGACACCGGCATGATAGATCACTTTAGCTGGAACATCAAAGAAATAGTATGTGGTGCATGGACAAGTGGTCCTGTTCTGTTTGTTCACCCCATCTTGGCCACTCCGGGATTTCGTAGAGTTCCCTGTGAAAGTGAAAGTCCAAAAAGTACAGGGGTATAAGGGTGTGAAATGAACAGCGACCAACACTAACTCTAACACTCTCTCCCCTCCCTTCCAATAATAGTGGACTTTTCCTGGACGTCTCCACAAACTCTCAGAGTACCCAAGATGGGATGTACAGAAAGCACATAAGTTCTGCAAATCCTAAAATCTGGAGAGAGAAAAAAAAAACTCTGTGACGTTTGGGTTATTTTACTGTATTTTTGCAGGTTGTAAGAGAAACATAAAATGATGTATTCTGTTATGACATACTTCAGGGCTATTCAACTAAGTTGACCCAGGAGCCAAAATTTTCAAAAATGGGGATCGTCAGGGGCCAGAAGCCCCAGTCCCAGCATTAAAAAAAACCATAAATGCAATACAACTAGCAGTAATCTGCGGGCCACTTGCTACGCCTTGGCGGGCCAGATTTGGCCTGTGGGCCGCCAGTTGAATAGCCCTGACATACTGTAAGAAAATGCATCTGTACATATTATAGAATAAACACATTGTAAGGTGTGCATAATTCCAGTTTGTAAGAGAATGTACATATTTACTGCATGAGTAGAATGTTGTTAATATCAGTTGAATGTACTAAACATTCTGTATTAGTATGAGGCATGAGAAAATGTATAATTTGTTTTACTCTACAGAAGAGCTGTTCAGCTGCCAGATTTGGCCCACGGAGGCCTAGCACATAACCCCTTGATCATTGTCTGTCATCTTAAAATAATTTTCCTATGCATGGGCTCATTGATCCCTTTTTTTCAAACACATTTGCGCTAAAGTAAAATCATTTGAATAGCTCTGTTCTACATTGTATAATGAGTGTGTAATGACTACTGTTTTTAACCTCCAGAATGCAAGAAAAGAAGGTACACACTGTGTATTCATTAAAAAAAAGGGCTATCCTATGAATAACGGCCACATATTATGGCGGCCAAAAACACACCCTGACAGGGCCGCAGTCACATGTAAATTGCGAACTTCCTGTGGCTTCAGTTGCAGACCGGCGACTGTACCGCCACCGCCGAGAGTATCTGCCGCGTCGCTTCGCGCGGTTTGGAGCGGGGCTGAACTAGATGGCTGGGACTCACGCGAAGCGGCGCGGCAGATTCTCTCAGCGGTGGTGGTATAGTCGCCGGCAGTCCGCAATTTATATGTGGCTGAGGCCCTGTTTTTGGTCGTCATAATATGTGGCCGTTATTCGGAGGAAAGCCAAAAAAAAAAAAGTACACATGCAAGACTTGTTTGTGTGTGTTGTCTCTAATATATTCCACTGAGTGTTTACATATCTCTGCAATCCATGTTCCAGACTTGAACTTCTGCACGCACAACAAGCCTTGCAGAAATGGTGGCATTTGTACCAACACGGGTCAAGGTGGTTACACGTGTACATGCATGGGCAGCTACACGGGAGTCAACTGTGAGCGCGAGGTGGATGATTGCAAGAGCAAGCCCTGCATTAACAATGGAATCTGCAAGGTAAGACTGCCCATTAGCCATACCAGCCCTACCATCTCTTGTTAACTTTGTCGGTACGTTTCTTTCTGTTCACCCGGTCTTTTGGACTGAGATTTGTTTCTTGGGAAATTGTGGGTTAGGGGTTGGGCGGAAGGGGGCGGTGATGCCACTTTGTCAAATAACCATATTAGTATGTTTTTGCTAAATTATCTATTTGTTAGCCTGAACATTGTTTCGGCACCTACTAAAAAATGGTAGTGATTTCCCTTCCCCCCCCCCCCCACACACACACAAAAGGGAGTCGCCGTGGCGGAGCGGCTAGACGCACGCAGCAGATCGGAAGGTCTTAGCTTTGCTTCCTGGAGGAGCCAAACTTTTGTCAAAAATGACCTTGGCTCTGAGGTCGACCCAGCCTTGAGTGGGTACCAGGTGCAGTCCCGGGAAGTAAAGGCGGCCGGCATGACGCTGACCACATTACCCATCTTGTGCCGATTGGTCTATAAAAATATAGGTCTAGTCTCATATGCCGTATACTTCTAAAGGCGTGGAAGAGGGTCCTTTACTTTATTTACCACCCAAACAAATAAATTTTAAAAAATTGAAACAACACCCTCGAAAAAAAAAAACCTGAATGTATTCATGATTGCAAGGATTGCAGTTTCCGTGTTAACTTCACAACAACCTTTGACTGTCTCCAGGATATTGGAAACGGATTTCAGTGCCAGTGTGCTCAAGGTTTCTATGGCCGGCAGTGTGAACGAGAAGCCATGTCTTGTAAAACCAACCCTTGCATGTATGGGGGAACTTGTGTGGAGGACGAGGGCTCCTACTACTGCCTCTGCCAACCTGGCTACAAAGGATTCAACTGTGACACAGAGGTCAACGAGTGTGACTCCTCACCATGTCTCAATGGTATGTAGAATGTTGTCATGATTTTCCCCATACCCTGCCTGATTCCTGATATCTATTAGCTTCTTCCTTTTCTGATATCCTTTAACCTTTTCCCTGATGACCTTCACTTTGCCGTTGATATCGCGGTCCTGTATATTTTAGCACGCCAGCGCTTTTAATGCTCCAAAAACATGCTGCACTGGCCTAGAAAAAGCTGCAACTCATGCAGCAGACATTCTCTTTCTGAGAAGGAAAACATAATGGAAGACAACAGAGAAGGCAAACAGCAGAGCCTGGACACACCTGTAACCTTCAGCAAGTTGAACAGTCCAACAAACTTGTGAATGAAAAGTGGGTCTACTCTGTTTGGTGAGATTTACATGATGTTCACCTTGGTATATACAGACAGACAAATGTTCGCGCGCGCACACACACACACACGCACACACACACACGCACACGCACGCACACGCACACACACATACACACACACACACACACACACACATATATATATATATATATATATATATATATATATATATATATATATATATATATATATATATATATATATATATATATATATATATATATATATATATATATATATATATATATATATATGGTTATTCCTACCGCAACCTTCATAGAGTTCACTACTGGCCTTCATCCGTGTACCGCTAGCATTTTAGTCTCCCGGAGTGGTTGTTTTCTCATGAATTCCGTTTGTTTATGCAAGCTTTAACCAGTTCAATTGTTCAACGGCAATCGAATCGATGTTTGTGAAGCGCAACATGTGTCAGGCATCGATTAATATGTCCAGCTTATTTATGACAGCTTAAGGATCGATTACCGACATTTAAACTTAAGGAGAATTTCATTGTTTTCTCACAACTTGGTCGTGTGGCGGCGGAGGAGTTTTGCGGTTGGGGTTAGTTGGATAGTGTCCAAATACTTCAAAGGATAGTGTCCAAATACTTCAACGGGGATAGTGTCCAAATACTTCAACGGATAGTGTCCAAATACTTCAACGGATAGTGTCCAAATACTTCAAAGGATAGTGTGCGTATACAACAGTGCAGACACATGACAGTTAGATTATGGACATATGTGTAGGACTTGCAGACGTATATTAGCAAAGACGAAGAAAGTCTATTAGGGAAGACCCCCCCCCCCCCCCCCCCCCCCACCCCCACCAAAAAAAAATTGAGATTCACAGAGAAAACAAAAAGAGATAGACACGGCGATGGAAACATAACACTTGTAGACATAAGACTTCGTATATTTTCATAGACTGGAGAAAAACAGACATATATACAGGAGGGGAAAAAAATCATAGTCGGAGAGAAAAACGCACTTACTTAAAAAAGCAAGACGCTTGTAGGGTCCACATGTAGAGGAAACAAAACAGACACTGGCAGGGGAAAAAAAATAAGGGGTGCAGAGACAGAGAGACGCTTATAGTAAAATATACCGAAACTTAAGGAAAGCATTAGCAGCAGCAGCAGCAGCAGTAGTAGTAGTAGTATTAGTAGTAGTAGTAGTAGTAGTATTAGTAGTAGTAGTTGTAGTAGTAGTAGTAGTAGTAGTAGTAGTAGTAGTAGTAGTAGTAGTAGTAGTAGTAGTAGTAGTAGTAGTAGTAGTAGTAGTAGAGAGAGAGAGGAACTATTTTGGAAAAGAGACAAGAAAACACTAGGAAAAATAGACTTTCATTTTTTTTAAAAAGGGACCGTCAATTCTGGGAAAAAGGTAAAATAAAATCGAGTGCCGTCTTTTTGTTCTGTCCGCTAACTGTAACCGTTGTGTGTGAGTTCATTGTGTCCATGTACCCAGGTTTTCTTGTTTTTTGTTTTGTCTCTATGACAGTCACTTGGCGGCTGCCCGGAATCCATTGTTATTTGTCCATTATGCCCGTTCCTTTTCACAATAATGATCGTACTAATAATTATTTCGCTGGCGGCGCCATCCGGGCTCCATCACGTGCCACTTGTGGGCCGAACACGGCATGGAAACAGTGTCCCTGATGTAGAGTAGTGTAGTGTAATGTAGTGTAGCAGTTAACGTGGATTTTGAAGCCTTATCTCCCCCCCCCCCCCCCCACCCCGGATGAAGTTGGCAATGTCGGCTCTGTGGCTAAATCGATGCGAACGCCTCATAATGCCGGGTTAGATCCCAGCTGCGGGCCATGCGCCTTGTGTTGGTTTCGACAGTGGTATCAAGAAAGCCGACCGTCCAGGAAGCAGCGGCAAACTACTGGACGTAAATTTGCCTAGAAAAACCACAAAACAGCTAGAGCTGTTGGGGTTGGTTCTGCAACGTTCTGTAAAGGATACGCAACTAACCTTTGAAGTTGGCAATACCAATCCATGCTCTTCTACGTTTACTCCTACAATGGCGGCTGGTACGTTGTGTTGTGGTTGAGAGTTAGGCTGTGATATCTGCGATTTTCCGACCAGGACATGCAATTTCCCGTCCAGGACATGCGATTTCAGCAAACAAATAATTTCTCCTTTTTTTTATTTTTACATGCTCATTAAGAGAGGTGGGTTTGCCCGGCTCTTTAGCGAAGTTAGTTAAACCTGACTTTCGCGGCGGCCGGGTGACGAACTCCTTGTGGTCCGGGTTCACTCCCGGGGGTTGGCAGAAAAGCCACATTTCTCCCAGATTAACGGTACCTATAATGGAATCAAGGCCCAAGGGTTGCGATATCCATAGTACCGAGGCAAAGGGTTTACAACTCATGGTTTCTGGATACGTTAAAAAAAAAATAAAAAAAAAGAGGGGTGGGTCTGTTTTTCCACCCTCACATGAGGCTCCTTACCCACACATGGAGACCCTTATTACTAGAAGTTTCATTTAGCACACTTGCCCATGGATCCTATGATATGCATTTGATGTCTCATCAAGACTGGCTTTATATATATAAAGGTATATATATATATAGGTTATTTGCGTATCCTTTACAGGACGTTGCAGAACCAACCCCAACAGACCCTGGCTGTTGTGTGGTTTTTCTAGGCATATTTACGTCCAGTAGTTTGCCATTGCTTTCTGGAATATAAAAATAAATAATAGCTTTTACCTGGCCTTCCAGGACAACTTAGTTATAACAGGGTTACCAGTTACTAGGCCCACGAAGGATCTAAGCGGTGGAGTAGCTTTGCTTTATTAGAAGATGTTAGTCATAAAGGAAATTTAAAAAAAAAAAGAAAAAAGATTTGGTTTTCGAAAACGTGTATGCTTACATTCCCTCTTGTACTGTCCACAGGTGGTCGATGTATTGACCAACCTAACGGTTACCGGTGTGTTTGTCCTGTTGGATACAGCGGCCAAGACTGCCAGAACAACGACGACGACTGCCACCAAAAACCTTGCCTCAACAACGGCATCTGCATTGACCTAGTCAACGACTTCCGCTGCCAGTGTGTGCCAGGTTTTGTGGGTACCTTGTGCCAGGATAATGTAGATGAATGTGAACTCCGACCCTGTGCCAATGGCGGCCGCTGCACGGACCTTAACAACGATTTCCGCTGTGATTGCGCACCAGGTTTTGAAGGCAAGGACTGTAGTTTGAAAATTGACGAATGCAAAAGCAATCCTTGCCTCCATGGAGGCATCTGTAAAGATTTACTGGCAGACTATTCATGCTCATGCCCCAAAGGATATTGGGGGAAAAACTGTCATATTTACGAGGGCGCCATTTACACTGATGCAAGCAGTGATGGAACTAGCCAACGAAGTGTAACTGTTCGACATCCTAGCACAACTGCTGCTAGTGCTGATTCTCATGGTCAGATTGCCTCTAGTATGCAGGATAATGACTCTGACGAGGAACTAAGCACTGCCCAGCTCTTGATTATTGTCTGTCTTGGCATTGGAATCCCAATAATTGTGTGCATCGTGGTTGTCATCATCCTCTTGTGCCGAAAGAAGTCCTACCTTCAGCAACGGCATACCCAGCAGCAGAATCTGGAGAATATCGCTCGAGAGAAGGAGCAACACTACATCAACAACATCAACAAATCTGGAGATATTTTCACAACTCTTCCTACATCCTCTTCCAACATCAAGATCAGCAACGAGGATCAACAGGATATCAACAAGCTGAAAATCAAGCATTCCAAATTCAGCTCTAGCAGCCTCAGCAGTCCTGATGGAGGAGGCAGCCTGGAGGATTTGCCTCAAAAGCTGCAGACATCCAACAGCAAGCAGTTTCTCCACAACCTGGTGGTTCAGCAACTACCATCCACATCCTTCTCTCCCAGTTCCTTTTCTACATCGATCCAGGCTTGCCCCTTAAAAGATGACCAAAACAGTGACTATGAAAAAGTATATCAGAGGTTTACTGTGGATACATTGGCGACAGATACAAGAAGATTGCCTAGGTAAATATTATTTCTCTTCTGGTATCGTTTTAGAAGCTGCACTGGTCAGGTGATTGTTTGCCAATCCAAAGAGCTTGGGTTTGAGTTCATATTGATTGTGCCTTCTCCGTGCAACAGGGTCTTTAACTTATTTTTGTTTTGTCCCCGTCCTGCTACATTCCTTTTTAATATTTCTCTGTATTTATTGTAAGGGCTATAACTGAGATCGACCTAGCCTCAAATGGGTACCAGGTAAAGTCCTGGAAAGTAAAGGTTACTGGCGTTAAGTGTACCACATCAACCATCAAGTGTCGATTGGTCTGTAAATATAGTTCTAGCCCTATATATCTAGTACAGGTCTACTTTACTTACTGAATTTCTGAAGTGAGCATTTGTGTAGGTCACATACACAAACAGCAGCTGTGTACGATTCTGTGTTTCGCAAAATAGATGCATGTTTAGTAGTTGATTTAACCAACATCACAGCACAGGACATTCCAGTTAGTGCTCTGTCATGATCTTCAGTAGTTGATTTAACCAACATCACAGCACAGGATATTCCAATTAGTGCTCTGTCATGATCTTCAGTAGTTGATTTAACCAACATCACAGCACAGGATATTCCAGTTAGTGCTCTGTCATGATCTTCAGTAGTTGATTTAACCAACATCACAGCACAGGACATTCCAGTTAGTGCTCTGTCATGATCTTCAGTAGTTGATTTAACCAACATCACAGCACAGGATATTCCAATTAGTGCTCTGTCATGATCTTCAGTAGTTGATTTAACCAACATCACAGCACAGGATATTCCAGTTAGTGCTCTGTCATGATCTTCAGTAGTTGATTTAACCAACACCACAGCACAGGATATTCCAGTTAGTGCTCTGTCATGATCTTCAGCAGCCAGTACAGAGTTTAAATTCCAGTAGTGTAATCATCAGTCTGATTTATGCCCATTGTGACCCCCCTCCCCTCCCTCTTTCCCAATTTTTTTTTCCTGCGTTGAGTCTCAGCCAAAATCACAACCCAGCAACCTGTAAATGCTGGGCATGTAGTCCCAGCACTGTAGACTATGTTGCTAACAGGAGATCATCTGGCCTGTTCTAGTTTCAATCAAAACAAAATTGTATGGTATATGGGGATATTTGGACTGCAGAGTAGCTTTCATCAAGGCTACCGGTCCCCTGATATAAGGTTTTATGACAGAAGGAAATGAGAATAAGACTTCTGGCTGGTGTTTGATATAATGCTAGAACATGAATGTTGTTCGTTGATTACCTGACCTGCTATTGGCTAGACAATTTGAGGACTATGCATTGACTGATTTCCCTGCTACTGAAAGAAAAGCAGTCTGCTTGCATTGTTTGTGCTGCTGTGTAACTTGTTTGCTGATGAAAGCTTGTCAACGCAACGTCCTTGGTTAATTATAATATGTACATCTGACATATACTATGTGCTGTCCTTCGTATTCTGAGTTCGCACTAAAAAGGGCATCTTTTTCTTCAGCCTTAAATCCACCCCCCCACCCCCCCCCCCATATATGAAGCATAGGCCCGCAATCCACCCACTCAGCAAAGTCGTTCTATCCTTCGCTATCTCATATAGCTAACCACATGTATTTCTCATCCATCTTTTTAACTTCACTCTATAGCTCTCTTCCCTATGTGCTTTTGGTCTTCCTTTATTTCTATGCCCCTGTGGTTCCAATGGAAAGACACTATAGATATATTGTTCTCATGTTTTCTCAACGTTTGTCCTATCCAACGCTAGCGCCTTTTCTCCACCTCTTGATCCACTGGAACTTGTTTGGTTCTCACCCAAAGCTTTACACTAGTGATTCTGTCGTGCCATTTAATTCCTTCTGTTTTGCACACGCACCAGTTACTGAATGTTTGTAGTTTATTAGTAATTGCTAGGCTGCGGTAAATGCGCCTTTCGGTATCATATCTCATCCGATTTTAGCAAAATCCTCATTAGTTGCATTTTTATGGATAGCTTGTTGCGAGGGTTGAAAAAAAAAGGGGGGGGGGGTGGTCTACAACCCCCACCCCACCCATCAATTCCAAAAAGGGCCCTGGAACACGCAGGGGAACAGTGATTACCAATTGTTTACTGAGAAGCGAAAAAAAAAAAGTTATAAAAATGCCTCCACACACGCGCGCGGCTTATCACTGCTAGAGTGACTCGCTTTAAGTGCTTTATCCCCAGGTCGTATGCCGAAGCCTTGATCCAATGTACAGGCCCATTGTAGACTCTCCTTTATCATCCTGGTACCCCCTCGGTGGGGCACCTTAGCATGTTCCGCTGATCAGCTGGCTTCTCATTGGCTAGCCACGGAACAGGTGGTCATCCCAGGTTATGCTAGCGTGGGAGCGGACAGGGAAGCCGCATAAACAAAATGTCTTTGGGGGCCAATTTTTTTTTTTTTAGTACGCTTGTCATCATTTGTGGTTTTGATGTATTATAAAGAGTCTTAGTCACCGTAGTTATAAAGCAGACCTTTTTTTTCCCTCTATTTCTTTCTATCCAGTAAACACATTTTGAGGGATTTTCGTTTTAGACAGTGAATTTAAAAAAAACAATCAGCTGGAAGAGTTTGTGGTTAGAAAATGAGCACGGGTCTCATGCGTTGTCTTACCCGTATGTGGGTTCTGTGGCCTCATTGTGGGGTTAAGAAGAATAGATCCATAGCTCCCCCCCCCCCCCAACACGCAAGTCGTAGGAGTCGACATATAAGTGGCGTCCTTCGAAATCGAAGTGCATCTACCTGAAAGGCAGGAAACCAACAGTCTGCATACAAATAAGCCCGATCTGTGCACGCAATATTCAGGCTCAAGACCAAAGTCTGGTGTTGAACGCATGACCGGAAATTTCTGCCGGTGAACGCGAAAAAGAGGCAGAAGAAGAAGAAGAAGAAAATGCGTTGTCTATTATTGCTTCAGCGGCCCTGAAGCTGTCGCCATACAGCAGTATGTGGTAGGTCATTTAACTTAAAATTCTCGGTGGCGTATTGTTAAGCCGTTAGCCCTGCGATATGAATGGTTCTGTTTCGGACATCAAACATTCACAATTTGGGCACGCTTGCCCGTCCTTCATTCGGCCGTTCCTGACACCCATTTTCCACACAGCAGTAGTATATGTTATCTATCGAACCATAACAAGTGAAACAAACTTGGTAATTCGTAACGTAGTGAAACACAAAAGCATCGAGTGTGTCAGGAAAACTCCCCTTTGTTGCACTGTAGACTCACGTTTCAATTGTGTCTTTACGGAAGCAGTTAAACAAATGTGGGAGCGCACGTGACGTATCAGCTTGCCCTATGGCAGGCATGCTTTATTTGCACGGGTCCTAGTTTACCCAGGCAGCGATGCGCGGCACGAGCGGAAACGCTCACCCCACACACGTTTATCCCATCTCTCCTTCTCTCTCTCTCTCTCTCTCTCTCTCTCTTCTCTCTCCTCTCTCTTTGAGTATATTATGTGAGACTTGTAGTCATTCTAGCTTGACGAGTTAGCTTGTGCAATTTAAAACGATAGGGGCCTCAGGGTTTAGTATATAGCTTAGGCAGGGTTTTTCAACGGTCAGCCTGCGGAGGCCTGGCAAGTTGCTCCCAGATCACTGCCAGCTGTATTGTTTTAATGATATTTCTGTGGTCGGGCTTGTGGTACTTGACAATCCCCGTTTGGAAAAATTGTGTTCTCACAGCTCAGTAAACTTAGTTGAATATCACTGGCTTAGGGGCATCATCCTATCTAAATCCGGCTCTGACTGCAGGTAATTTCTCCTTGGCTGACTGACTTTCTACCCCACTAGGACATCACACAAGCGATAAACACCCGATGACACAATGTGCCACCATGCGGGTGAGGATCACCGTGGAAAGGTCCCAGGAACCGCGTTCAGCCTTTAGGCCATATTAATGGCCTGGCTTTATTGCGGCCAAAGTAGGGCTTCAAATAACGAAAAATTTCATCCTAAAAAGGACGAAAAGTACCTGTTTTTTAATTTCCCCTAATAATGGACAGTAACTATACACCGAGCCTTGCAAGTTCGAATCGTGTTCAACAGTGTCTACTAATACACGATTGTTAACCAGTTTTTAAAAGCTTGCAAGTCTGAATCATGTTCAACATTGTTTACTAATACACGATTGTTAACCAGTTTTTAAAAGCTTGCAAGTCTGAATCATGTTCAACATTGTTTACTAAGACAAGATTGTAAACCTTTTTTCAGAAGCTCTAAATAATTAATTGTTTTATTTTATTTCAGTGACCAGCAGACACAGCATTCCCGAAGTATTCAAAAAGTGGCCAAGTTGTTAGAGCACAGCAGTGGAGATCTCGCTGACCACAGCTCAGAACGCTGCTTAAAAGACAATAATGACAGCTCGAATTATGCGGGCTTGCTCTGCAGTGCAACATCATCATCACCGTCTTCGTCTGCTTGCTCAGCTCAACCACAGCAGCCACAGCAGCAGCAGCACACATTTCATAGGCAGTCACATTATGACCAGGACTACTATGCCACCGAGGTCTGACCTCAGGGTGGTCGTTGACATCTCATTGTACATACCATTTGACAATTGTCATTCATCGTTGACTACCATGTTTCCCATCTGCCAGTTCGTCAACAGAAGTTACGTCTCATTATTGATGTAACCACAGAACCGCACAAGGCATTTGCCCTTAAACATGGTCATTGATTGTAATAAGTTATTCTTCAACTTCATGAGTTATCGACAACACAGGCATTGTTTGCCGCTTTTCATAAACTATGTGCTCAAAGAATCAACAGCTGAAAAAGTCTACAGGCATTTCAGTTTGCCTTGATAACTAAGCACACTTTGGACATCATGACCAAATCAGTTTGGGTCACTAAGTGCCTTTTCTCTGCTAGTCCAGTCATGTGAGAGATTACTGTTTGTGCCCTGATCATTGTACAGTGAAAAATTGTATTGAAAACTATGTTACACAATTGTTTTCCACAAGGGAAATAACCAGTTCTCGTGTTTTCCACAAGGG